CGTGCCGGTGCTGATCTTCTATGCCTTCTTCCAGCGCCAGGTCGTGGCTGCCGTGGCGGGGAGGGCGATCCGATGAAACGCTTTCTCCTTGCGGCCTTCGCGCTGCTGCTGGCCACCGGCGCGCAAGCGGCCGAAACGGTCATCAAGCTCAGCCACTTCTTCGGCGTCTGCGAGGCCGGCTACGGCCGCAACCTCGACCTGGCCAAGGCCAGCGGCGAATGCCCCACGCTGACGACGCTGGTCAACCGCTTCAACGCCGAGCACCGCGGCCGCTGGCGGGTGCAGATGCAGGTCATGGAGCACAGCAGCTACTACCCGCAGCTGGGCGCGCGCCTGGTCGGCCGCGACGTGCCGGCCATCAGCATCATGCATGCCTCGCAGCTGAACGACTTCGTCAAGCGCGGGCTCATCGAGCCGCTGGACGGCGCGTTCAAGGCCAGCGGCATCGCCAGCGACGACTTCACGCCGCACGCCCGCACCGGCGCCATGCGCAACGGCGCCTTCTACGCGCTGCCGGTGGACAGCCACGCGTGGCTGTGGCACTTCAACACGAAGCTGATGGCCCAGGCCGGCCTGCTGGACGCCAAGGGCGAGCCGGTGGTGCCGCACAGCCCGGCGGAGCTGATCGAGCAGGCGCGCCGCTTCAAGGCTGCCACCGGCAAGCCCTACCTGGCGTGGATGACGGCCAACGACACGGCCTTCTTCGGCCGCACGCTGATCAACCTGGTCGCGCAGCAGGGCGGCTCGCTGTTCCCGCGCTCGCCGCAGGAGATCGACCTGCAGAGCCCCGAGGTGGCCGAGGCGCTGCGGCTGTTCCGTGCGCTGGAGAAAGAGGGCCTCACCACGCGCGACATGGACTACAGCGCCGCGGTGCAGGCGTTCATGAACGGCCAGGTCGGCATGATGATCAACGGCACCTGGCTGCTGGGCGCGCTGAACGACCAGGCGCACACGCCCGGCACGGCGCTGCAGGGCGCCTACCGCGCCGTGCCGTTCCCGCAGCTCTACGCTAGGCCGGCGGTGTGGGCCGACTCGCACGCCTGGGTCATGTTCAAGGGCGGCACGAAGACTGCCGAGCAGCGGGCCGGCGCGCTCGCGTTCCTGAAGCACTGGCATGACCACGACGTCTACTGGGCCGTGACCGGCCAACTACCGGCGCGCATGTCGTCGCTGAAGAACTCGACCTACCTGAGCCTGCCGCAGCGCCGCGAAATCGCCCCCACGGCCGACATCGGCGTGGCGCTGCCGCCCACGGTGTCGCGCCAGTCCCGCATCATCGCCAGCACGGGCGAGGCCTTCAACAAGCTGGTGGTGGGCGGGGGCGACGCCGCCGTCGAGCTGCCGCAGGTGCAGACCTCCCTGAACCGCATGCTGGCGCATGACGCCCAGTTCATGAACGCCAACAAGGACTCCCCATGAAGCGCCGAGAAGCCCTGGCGGTGTGCGCCGCCGTGCCGCTGTCTGCCTGCGCCACGCGCGCGCCGCAGCAGCCGTTGAGCGCCGCCGACCCGTCGCTGCTGATCCACGACGGCCACTACTACCTCTACGCCACCGACGACAAGGACCCGCACCGCGGCCTGCCGGTGTGGCGCTCCAAGGACCTCGTCACCTGGGAGCCGCTGGGCCTGGCGCTGCGCCGCGGCGACGCGTTCGGCACGCGCGACTTCTGGAACGGTGGCGTCGTGAAGCTGCCCAGCGGCAAGTTCCTGATGCACTACACCGCCGACGAGCAACTGGCGCTGGCCACCGCCGATTCACCGGCCGGCCCCTTCCGCAACGCGATGCAGCCGCTGCGCGCCAAAGGCAAGGAGCTGGACACCGACCTGTTCATCGACGACGACGGCCGCGCCTACTTCTACTTCGTGCGCCACGACCATGGCAACGTGATGCACGCGGCCCGCTTTCTGCCCGACTGGAGCGGCATCGACGAAGGCAGTGCGCGAGAACTGCTGCGCGTCACCGAGCCGTGGGAACACACCAACGTCAAGTCCACCTGGCCGGTGCTGGAGGCGCCGTGCATGGTCAAGCACGGTGGGCGCTACCACCTCATCTATACCGCCAACGACTTCCGCAACCCCGACTACGCCGTCGGCATCGCGAGCTCCGACTCGCCGCTGGGGCCCTTCAAGAAACATCCGCGCAATCCGCTGCTGCACCGCTTCGCCGGCCTGCGCGGCACCGGCAGCGCGCAGCTGTTCAAAGACTTGCAGGGCCGCTGGCAGCTGCTGTGCCATGCGCATTTCAGTGACACCGCCTGGGGACCGCGCAAGCCCTTGCTCATCGAGGCGGCCTGGACTGACGACCTGTTCCTGGTGCCGCGCGGCCAACCGCGCGTGCTGATGGCATGAAGACGCGTGCGCTGCTGATCGCCGCCGTGCTGGGCCTCGCTGCGATGCAGGCGTCCGCGCTGGAGCTGGCCGGTGTGTTCGGCGACCACATGGTGCTGCAGCGCGACGCCGTGCTGCGCATC